TCTCTTAATATCAGATCGATCGGGTACATGTTGCTGCCAAAAACATGTGGGCCAAATTGGCTGTTTAGTGTCATCTTCACAGGCGTTGTCGGTTTTCTTCACTGATAAGAGCTGCAGAGCCAGCAGGCACAGCTACAGCGCGTAAGTCTCTAAGCATAGAGCTTCCTGAACTGTCTGATACCAGAGCCGGGTCCGCAAAACACTTAGTTTTTTTTTGGGGGGGGACGAGGATGCGTTTCTTGACATAAAACGAGCTCCAGGTGAGCTACAGAGCTGTTTGGCACATCAATCGGAAGATAATGATCAGGCGCGCAATCCAAGTATCTCGATGTCTCAACTCTGTATGCTACCAGAGTTGGGTCCGCGAAACTGTTCGTACCCTGCATTTTTCAGACATGGTAATACGTTTCTTGAGTCAACTCGAGCTGCAGATGAGCTACAGCGCTTTTAGGCACAGCGATCGGAAGACCATCAGCGGACGCGCTAGTTTAAGTAAGATATCTAGATGCCTGAAATTGGTACGGTTTGAAGAACAATTGAGACTCTGTTAATTTCTAGACTGACATGAAGCTGGATATGAGCTACAGAGCTGTTGGTCCCAGCAGCGGAAGGGAAAGTATCAGACGCGCTAGTCGATCTGCTATCAGAGCTGGGTCCACAACAACTATTCGTCCTCCGTGAACCCCAACCCCACGCGCGCGGAATGCAATATTGCCGCGCCCGCATTTCACGAGGAAGTTCTACGAGTTCCCCGCGGTAACCAAGGTTCATGGTTTCCCGCCGGCTCCCAGTGTGATGCGATGACTTGGCGTCGCTGTTTTTTGAAGATTGTGAGAGATTTGATTATTCGTTTTGAGATGTCGTATTTTTTCTACGTGTAGTGGATTATGCCGCGTCTGTCTATCAAGTAGTCAGTTATCGAAGCACTCGGCAGAACCGATTTCGTGTAACAAGTTTTTATGCTCGAGAAAGATTCCCCATCTAATCTTGCACTAACTCTCGTTTCCAAGCTCTACATGGCGGTAACCTGGTTGACGGTTAACCGCCGGTTCCCAGTTCGCGGACCGTGGGACGAGACCCCGGAGCGCGCGCGACCCGAGGCGAAGACCCGGGGCTCGCGACCCGACCTGGGCAGGCGTATAATACTTATACGAATATGTGTTCGATTATTATTATTACGAATAATGGCGTGGCTTGCCGTGCCTCTGGATTGCCACGTGCGAGAGGTGGTTCCATCTGCTTGCGGCCCCATTATGTCAGGGCCGCCGTGTGTTCTACTGCTCTGTAAGAGCTTCTTATGGAGGACGAATATGTCGATTGCAGACAGTAGGCTCACTGAACTGGCAGCTTGAAGGAGAAAATGCGAGAGGGAACAATTTTCGGTTTTTGACGGGTTTTATTAGAACAGCAGTGAAATACCGAGTAATTCGCAAGCGAACGCAGCAGTAATTATTCCAGTTGCATAATCATTTGATTCTCTAAATCGACAGCTTTTCTGAAAATAAAACAAAAAAGTGGACTCTGGAAGAGGATCGCAAGGGATATTGCAGCTACAGCCTTTAGACTTTCACCAGCGAGCGCAGCGTGATCCAGTGCTTAGTACAATAACATTGGATCTGAAAACGGATTGTGAAATCTTCTGGACTTTTCTGAAAACCGCCAACATTAATTCTCATCTGAAATTCGTCGGTTCCCTAATTTGCATAATCAACTACAGGTGAGGAAAACGCGCATTCTTATCACAAATGATGAAATCTCCCACCATCTTCAACGCAGGTTTGAGAAGGACGAGCAAATAGCAATGCAATCATGCCCGATGTTTGCATGCAGTAATGTCAACCCGATAGATATGATATCAAGTTCGCAGGCGTGAGTGAGAGATCGTAGACCTGGGGAAAGAATGCCAGATCTGAGACGACGGATTGTTGAATTTAGAGAACATAATTTTCAACCAAGCCTCTTCGCCAAAACTTTCGAGAGTTTGCGAGCCAACTAGCCCGCTGGCGCTCTTGAATTTCGCTAGAGCTTAGCCGCTTTGTTTCTGGGGAAGCTCTACGAAGCATTCTTCTTCAGCTTTCAAGTTTATATTTCAGGGAGCTCACTGTCTGCGTTGCTGTTAGCTCTCCCGGCGGTGACCTGGTTGACCATTTTACAACCCGTACCCAGCTTCTTAAAACTGTGCTATGCTTGAGATCGGTTCCTGTAGTTCAATAGCCAGCGAGCTAGCGGGCTCGAGAGATCAGCAGGAACTTGGTGGCGTCCAAAATTGGGAACCGGCGGTAAACCGTCAACCTAGTTACCCCCGGGAACCTCGTAGAGCTCTTCTCTTGCACGGCCATCCTCGGGACAGATGAAAAGCGTCTGGTGCGAGAAGGGAAAACTCAAAAAATGACGTTTTTCTGTTTTTATCGAATGTCCGTTCCGCCAAGTGTGTTTTGGAAGTAATACTGCACCTAGGGACCTGAGAATTTGACTGGCAAACGCAGCATACCACTACAGGTGCGAAAAATCTGGTTCCTAAAAATGAATTGTCAAATATCTTTCAAACTTGGTAGCGTCCGCTTGACAGCGTCCAAAACCCGGAGAGCGAAGAACCTCTGGAATTTCCTGGAGACTGGAATAGCGTCCACTTGACAGCGTCCAAACCCCGGAGAGCGAAGAACCTCTGGAATCGGACATCTTTCCTGGAGAGCTCCGGGGAGCTCCCCAGGAACGGTTCTGAAGCGCTGCCAGGAACGCTTCCACGCGCTGCACGCGTGCAGGCCTGCGCGGACGCGTGCTGAAGCGCCCCCGAACCCGCTGCCGGCCCAACCGAACCCCTGCGGGGATTCTGGAGCGGCGAAGATGGGCTGCTGGCGGGCACCAGCACCGTCCTGCTTCTAATCTCGAACCCTCTAGCTCTCAGAGAGCTCTCTGGGAAAAACCCGGAGAGCAAAGAGAACACACGCCGGAAAGCTTTCCTGGCGAGCCCTCCGACGCTCCAGTGAAGCGCTTTTGGAGCTGGGAGGGGCTCGGCTACAGCGCCTCTGAAGCGCTGCCAGGAACGCTTCCACGCGTGCCTGCGCGCGTGCAGGCACGCGTGGACGCTTGCCGGAAGCGCTCCCGGACCCGCTGCGACGTTCACAGGCCGCTGCGACAATTCTGGAGCGGCGAAGATATGAGAGCCTCTCCGTCTTAATATGAGCTCTGTAGGCACACTTTTACTATCAAAACACTTGGCGGCACCAACTATGGAAAATTAAGAGTTTTTCCCAACCCTCCTTGGTTGGGTATTCGTTTTGAATAGAGCAGTGTGGTCGCGTCCCTCCTCCCTCCCTTCCTCCTTTTCCCCTCCCGCCTCTTCCTGTCTTGCCCGCGGGGGGCTGCGATCTGTGAAACTGTCGCAATTTTCGAGGCCTGCTGGGGGGCCCAGCACAGTGAGGGCCACGGGCGGATCCAAATTAGACCTCGCCATCCCTGGGGGGGTGCGATCTGTGAAACTGTCGCCATTTTCGAGGCTTGCTGGGGGGCCCAGCACAGTGAGGGCCACGCGCGGATTCAAATTAGACCTCGCCATCCCTGGGGGGCTGCGATCTGCGAAACTGTCGCCATTTTCAAGGCCTGCTGGGGGGCCCAGCACAGTGAGGGCCACGCGCGGATTCAAATTAGACCTCGCCATCCCTGGGGGGCTGCGATCTGCGAAACTGTCGCCATTTTCGAGGCCTGCTGGGGGGCCCAGCACAGTGAGGGCCACGCGCGGATTCAAATTAGACCTCGCCGTCCCTGGGGGGCTGCGATCTGCGAAACTGTCGCCATTTTCGAGGCCTGCTGGGGGGCCCAGCACAGTGAGGGCCACGCGCGGATTCAAATTAGACCTCGCCATCCCTGGGGGGCTGCGATCTGCGAAACTGTCGCCATTTTCGAGGCCTGCTGGGGGGCCCAGCACAGTGAGGGCCACGCGCGGATTCAAATTAGACCTCGCCATCCCTGGGGGGCTGCGATCTGCGAAACTGTCGCCATTTTCGAGGCCTGCTGGGGGGCCCAGCACAGTGAGGGCCACGCGCGGATTCAAATTAGACCTCGCCATCCCTGGGGGGCTGCGATCTGCGAAACTGTCGCCATTTTCGAGGCCTGCTGGGGGGCCCAGCACAGTGAGGGCCACGCGCGGATTCAAATTAGACCTCGCCATCCCTGGGGGGCTGCGATCTGCGAAACTGTCGCCATTTTCGAGGCCTGCTGGGGGGCCCAGCACAGTGAGGGCCACGCGCGGATTCAAATTAGACCTCGCCATCCCTGGGGGGCTGCGATCTGCGAAACTGTCGCCATTTTCGAGGCCTGCTGGGGGGCCCAGCACAGTGAGGGCCACGCGCGGATTCAAATTAGACCTCGCCATCCCTGGGGGGCTGCGATCTGCGAAACTGTCGCCATTTTCGAGGCCTGCTGGGGGGCCCAGCACAGTGAGGGCCACGCGCGGATTCAAATTAGACCTCGCCATCCCTGGGGGGCTGCGATCTGCGAAACTGCCGCCATTTTCGAGGCCTGCTGGGGGGCCCAGCACAGTGAGGGCCACGGGCAGATTCAAATGAGACCTCGCCATCCCTGCGGGGCTGCGATCTGTGAACCTGTCGCCACTTTCGAGGCCTGCTGTGATCCCCGTTTTCGAAGTGGCTAGGAGTGCTCAGGAATTGTAAATCATCAGCTTTATCAAGCCCTTTTCCTGTAGCCAGTGTCCTGCGAGTCTCCCGAATTCCGTCTGCAGACATATGTAACCCTCGCTCCGTCATCGCCCCCTTATAAAGTATCCTAAACTATTTGCGCCCCGCTTTTGCGCAGGGGTTGGGTACATCGCCAGGGTAATGATTTTGTTCGAGAAATGCTTCCAGATGGGAACCGGCGGTAAACCGTCAACCAGATTTTTGCGTCTTTGCTGGGACCAACTTGGCCACTGAGGCCAGGTCCAACAAGTCTCAGGCGAATCAAACGACCTGTGGGCATTGCAACAGTGAGAACACTGATGAGGCGAAACTCATACTACAAACAACCCTACAACAGTGAGAACACTGATGAGGCGAAACTAATACTACGACATGAGAGCCAGGAGACCTGGCCAAGAACTGAACATGCACACACTGAATTATTAGAGCTCAGACAAATGCATATGCACCATGACTATGGACCGAAAGGCAACACTACCGAATCACAAGCAATAAACAAAGGCAACGAACAAACTGAAAGACTATGCACTGAATAAGGATGCACTGAATGACCACACGAGGCAATCACAATCAACAATCAAAAAGACCACGCGAGGCAATCACAATCAACAATCCAATATAATTCAGCGTACAATACACAGAGAGGTAATGCATGCAGACAAAAGGCCTCGGAGGAACCACGCACGTCGAAACTCGTAGAATTTCACTTGTCGAAACTCCTCGGGCGTCCGAAGAATACTATTCGGTAATCGCTGCACTTGGAAACCTCAAGAAACTTGGCGGTCTCGGCGCGGTTCATTTGTCCTGTCAAGTACCAGTGCACCTCGAAGAATCCTAGAAGATCCTCCAGCGTCGCTTGCACATTCTGGAGCATCTCATACAGTTTCCGAGCATAATCTGTTTGGGCCCTCTTTGTAGGGAACCCACGTTCTGTCACCAGCTTATCAAACAAATCCATTCCGTTCTTTAAATACTGGATCGCATTCAACTCGTTGATGCTGGCAACAGCGTCAATGCACGCTTTGACATCGGCAATGGTGGCCTGAGAGCACGTCGATGTCCCCTTGACCTTGTCACGATCTCTCCCTCGAGTCCTCTGGCGCGACTCCGGAGAAGCGACATGGACAGACGCATCAGAACCAGGATTCGATACCTCATTGAGCGTGACATCAGAATCTGCCTGCACGTTCGGTGTCGAAGAAAACTCCGCTCTCGAAAGCGCCTCCAACTCCTCCCGCGCCTCCTCAGTCACTTTCCCAAGAACAGTTCCTGAAGCTCCTCCCTCCATTCCAAAAACACTCTCTGTCTGACAGCCGACTTCACAATGAAGGTCCACAGCATCAGTAAGAGAAATGCTGGCCTCGGAAAGTGGCGGGTAGGTACAAACACTGTCCGTCTGAGTGCTGGTGTCAACATGACTGTGCAAATCCGTCTGAGTTCTCATGTCCACATGTTTTCTCTCCTTCAGCGGCAAATGGGGGGTAGAAAAGGCCAATGCGGTTGGGGAATCCGTGACAGCGTCCACTTCCGCACCTGTGGGAGAAAGATCCATTGAAGAAACTGTTGGGGAAACTATTGAAGAATCCGTAGAAGTACCCACTTCCCCACCTGTTCTCGAAAGAACCATAGAAACATATGCTGGCTGCAATGTGTCTCCAGGGACTTCGGCAAGAATTGGCAAGGGCTCCACGGGGGTGGCGAAGTACTCCAGCAGCACATCTGTCGCGTGCGACATGGGGACCAAGCTTTGCAACGAGATGGGATACCGCGTGGGAGCAACAACTTTCTGTTCCACTGCGCGTGCACGACGAGCGATCCGTGCCTGCCAACTCCGAACATGCACCATGACTATGGACAGAAGGCAACACTACCGAATCACAAGCAATAATCAAAGGCAACGATCAAACTGAATGACTATGCACTGAATAAGGATGCACTGAATGACCACTCGAGGCAATCACAATCAACAATCAAAATGACCACGCGAGGCAATCACAATCAACAAACCAATACAATTCAGCGTACAATACACAGAGAGGTAATGTATGCAGACAAAAGGCCTCGGGGGATCCCAGGACCGCCCAGGCCTCGCGGCCCTTCGTCCAGTCTCACTCCCCGAGGCAGTGGCCCGCTAGAACGTCTGGAGGTTACCCAGGCAGAGACGTTCTTGAGCCGAGACGTTCTTGAGCCGGGACCCTCGTAGAGCTCTATTCTCACACCGCGCTTCTCGGAACACATGAAGAAAGCTTCTGGGGAGAAACGAGAAAATCAAAAAATCACGTTTTTCTGTTTTTATCCATCGTCGGTTCCTCCAAGTGTTTTGATAGTCTTACTGCACCTTCGGACCTGAGAATTTGACTGGCAGACGCGACATAACCCACTACAGGTGCCGAAAATCTGGTTTCTCAAAATGAATGGTCAAATATCTTTCAAATCTTAGCAAAACCGACCCAAAGTCACCACTTTGTCTCTTAAGACCGGGTCGGCCAACTAGCTCCACTCCGCGCCGGAACTGGGCGCCGGCGGTAAACCATCAACTTTTCTTACCGCCCGGGGACTCGTAGAGCTTCCTGACAATATATAATGTCGAAAAAATTGCAGAGAACGAATAGTTTTTCAGCCCAAGCGATTTCAGACCTCTCGATCCAACAGCCGAACGCCCCCGATGCTTCTGGATTGTCTTCTGTGCGAGCTCTGTAGCTCTCCTACAGCCCGAGTTACGTGCGTAAGTCGACAGCACCTCTCAAGATAACTCGAACAATACGAATAGTTTGGCAAACCTAACTCGAATATCAGACCGAATTCAGACCTCTGAATCCGACAGGCAGACGCGTCTGATGTCTCCGAATCGATTCCTGTGATTACCAGCCCTGCAGCCTCCCTACAGCCCGAGTTAAGTGCAGAAAACCGACAGCACCTCTCAGGATGACTCGAACAATACGAATAGTTTCGCGGACCTAGTTCGGGCAGCAGACCGAGTTCCGAGCTCTGGATTCGACAGGCCGACGCGCCTGATGTCTCCAAATCGATTCTGTGACTACCAGCGCTGTAGCCCCTACAGCCCGAGTTAAGTACAGAAAACGGACAGCACCTCTCAAGATGACTCGAACAATACGAATAGTTTCGCGATTCTAGATCGGGCGGCAGACCAAGTTCAGAGCTCTGGATTAAAGAGACGAGCGCGACTGATGATTCTTAATAGGTTTCTGTAAGTATCAGCTCTGTACCTGTCACATAGCTCGAGTTAAGTACAGAAAGCCGAGACCGCTTGTCAAGATGACTCGAATAATACGAACAGGTTTGCGGACCTAGCTCGGCTAGCAGACCGAGTTCAGACCTCTGTATGCAACAGACGAACGCGCCTGAAGATTCTGAATCGATAAGGTGTGCTTACCAGCTCTGTAGCTGTCCTGTATCTCGAGTTAAGTCCAATATACCGAGAGCGCGTCTCAAGATGACTCGAAACGGCCGATCCCGCCGGAACGCTTTTTGGCAGTAAAAGGAAGCCGATCGAGCTGAGATCAAGATGGCGAGCGGGAATAAGATCGAACATCACGGGAAAAAATACTAGAGCTCAAACGAATTGAGGAATTTCGAGAACAAAATTATCAACCGACCAAAGTCACCAAAAGGTCCGTCGACATTTTTCTTGCCAACTAGCTCTCCAGCGCCCCGGAACTGGGCGCCGGCGGTAAACCGTCAATCTGGTTACCGCCGGAAACGAGTAGAGCTCTTTTCTTGCCCAGATGCTCGGAACACGTGAAGCAAGCTTAAGCGAGAGCCAAAAAAATCTAAAAAAAATCGATCGCATACAAATAGTTTTGGGGACTTAGCTCGAGAAACAGACTCTGTTCAGAGCTCTAGATACTTCAGCCAAACGCCCTTGATGGTTCTGTATCGGTTTCTGTGCGTACCAGCTCTGTAGCTGTGCTGTAGCTAGGGTTAAGTGCAGAATACCGAGAGCGCCTCTGAAGAACTTGAGAAATACGAATAGTGTTGTGGACCTAGCTCGAGTAGCAGCACGAGAGTTCAGGCCTCTCGATACAACAGACGCAAGCGCTTGTTGACACTGAATCAGTTTATGTGCGCATCAGCTCTGTAGCTTCTCTGAATCTTGAGTTGAGTACAGAAAACCGACATCACTGGTCAAGATGACTCGAATAACACAAACAGTTTCACGGACCTAGCTCGAGCAGACCGAGTTCAGGCCTCTGGATGCAACATGCGAACGCGTCTGATCATTCTGAATCGGCTTCTGTAAACATCAGCTCTGTAGCTCTCGAAATCGAGTTAAGTACAGAAAACCGTGAACGCGTGTCAAGATGACTCGGAACGCAGTTGGTTCCAGCAAGTCTTTTGACAGTAATATTTCAGCTACGGACCTGAAAATTTTACTGGCAGACGCGGCACAACCCACTACGCGTGAGAACAACACCGCTCCTCGAAATGAATTGTCAAATATCGACCCAAGGTTATCACAATGTCTCTTTTGGTCGGGTCGGCCAACTGGGCGCCGGCGGTAAACCGTCAACCTTTCTCACCGCCGGGGGACTCCTTGAGCTTCCTGACAACATACAACGTCAAAAAAAAATTGCAGAGAACGAAAAGTTTTTCAGCCCAAGCGACTGGCACCGGCGGTGATCCGTCAACCTGGTCACTGCCGGGAACCTCGTAGGAGCCCTGAGAGTGCGCAGAGTCGAAGGAAGGAGCTCCTGGAGGCATTTCTCAAAAAATTGAAGATTCATTTTTCATGTCGACCTGAAGTTGATTGCGCCAAGTGTTTTGATTGTAAAAGTGCGCCCAGAGAGCTCATATTTCGACGTAGGGGCTCACAGTCGTCTACAGGTGCGAAAAATCTGGTTCCTCGAAATGAATTGTCAAATGTCTTTAAAATCTCAGCGAAACGAACCGAAAGTTATTACATCTTCTTTTCTGGCCGGATCGACCAACTAGCTCCACTCCGCGCGGAATTCCTCTAGCTCATCGACAACGAAGAGCTCTACGAGGTATTTGGCGCCGGCGGTGAACCGACAGGCGGACGCGTCTCCGAATCGATTCCTCTGATTACCAGCCCTGCAGCCCCCTACAGCCCGAGTTAAGTGCAGAAAACCAACACCTCTGAGAACTGGGAACCGGCGGTAAACCGTCAACCAGGTTATCGCCGGGCACCTCGTACAGCTCTTTTGTTGCACAGCGCTCCTCGTAATAGATGAAGGAAGTTTCTGAAGCGAGAGCAGAAAAACTCGAAAAATTGTGATTTTCGGTTTTCATCCAAAGTCAGATCCTGCAAATCTTTTTATAGTAATATTGCAGCTACCGACCTGAGAATTTGACTGGCAGCCAAGGCATAACCCACTAAACGTAAGAAAAAACTAGTTTCTCGAAATGAATTGTCAAATATCTTTCAAACTGGCGCCGGCGGTGAGCTGCTCACACTGGTGAGAGTGCTGAGAATCGAAGTGGAGTAAAAAATCAAAATTTTTCGAAAATCTTTATTTTTGATGTTTTCGATGTTCACATTCGCTCAGTTCCGGGAAGTCACTCATAAGAAAATACATCGGAGAGCTGAGCTGCTGTCAGAGAGGATTTTACATGCCACTACGACGCGCAAACATCTGCTTTCTCAAAATCAATGGTTAAATATCTTTCAAATTTTCGCAAAACTGATGATAAGTCACCAATTTATCCGCCCCAGCCGGGGCCAACTAGCCTAGCTGCACCCCGCGCCGGAATTCCTCTAGCTCATCGATGACGAAGATCTCTACGAGATATAAAACCGTCAACGCGTGTCGAGAAGACTGAAACCTGTCGACGGTTCCTCAAGTCTTTTGATAGTAACATTGCAGCTCCGGACCTGAGAATTCAACTGGCAGACGCAGTATAACCGAGCACACGTGAGAAAAGTACCCGTTCTCAAAACCAATTTCAAAATTTTGTATAAAAAAGTTTTTCTATTATTTATTTTCTTTTGGTCGGGCCGGCCAACGAGCCCCACCCTGCGCCCCAATTCCTCTTAGCTTTTTGCTGAAGAGCTGTACGAAGTATCGTAGCAAAACCGACCCAAAGTCACCACTTTGTCTTTTCAGGCCGAGTAGGCCAACTAGCACCACCCCGCGCCGGAATTCCTCTATCTCATCGATGCCGAAAAGCTCCACGAGGGATGCAGACCGAGTTCAGAGCTCTGGATTCGACAGACGAACGCGACTGATGATTCTGAGTCGGTTTCTGTAAGTATCAGCTCTGCAGCTGTCATAAAGCTCGAGTTAAATACAGAAAACTGGGAAACGGCGGTAAACCGTCAACCTGGTTACCGCCGGAACCTCGTACAGCTCTTTTCTGGCACAGCAATCGTTGGAACACATGAAGAAAGCTTCTGGGGCGGAAACAAAACTCGAAAAAACACGTTTTTACTGTTTTTATCAACGTCGGCTCCTCCAAGTGTTTCAATAGTAATACTGCAGCTATGGGCCTAAAAATTTCACAGGCGCACGCGCCATAATCCACTACAGGTGCGAAAAGTCTGCTTTCTCAAAATGAATTGCCAAATATCCTAAAGTCATCACTTTGTCCTTTCTGGCCGGGTCGGCCAACTCGGAACCGGCGGTAAACCGTCAACCTGGTGACCGCCGGGAACCTCGTAGAGCTCTTTTCTTGCACAGCAATCGTCGGAACACATGAAGAAAGCTTCTGGAGCGAGAAACGAAAAACTCGAAAAATCACGTTTTTCTGTTTTTATCCAACGTCGGTTCGTCCAAGTGTTTGAATAGTACTACTGCACCTATGGGCCTGAAAACTTTACTGGCGGACGCGCCATGACCCACTACAGGTGCGAAAAATCTGCTTTCTCAAAATAAATTGTCAAATGTCCTTTCATTTTTCGCAAAACCACCCAAAAGTGATCACTTTGTCCTTTCTGGCCGGGTCGGCCAACTGGGCGCCGGCGGTAAACCGTCAACCTTTCCTACCGCCGGGGGACTCGTAGAGCTTCCTGACCATATATAATGTCGAAAAAAATTGCAGAGAACGAATAGTTTTTCAGCCTAAGCGATTTCAGACCTCTCGATGCAACAGCCAAACGCCCCTCATGCTTCTGGATCGTTTGCTGTGCGCACGAGCTCCGTAGCTCTCCTACAGCCCGAGTTACGTGCGAAAATCGACAGCACCTCTCAAGATCACTCGAACAATACGAATAGTTTGGCAAACCTAGCTCGAGTATCAGACCGAGTTCAGACCTCTG